TGACCAAATAACTTTATGAGCAAACGGCCAGGAAATTGAATTTCGGGGGTTTTGAGTAGTAAATGCTGGATAGTTTTGAAAGTTGCACTCGTGGCATGTCACTCAAAACCCATTAGTGAAATTTCAGACGTTCTTTGTTCAGTGTAGTGGATTTAGTCGTTCGTGTGTTCTGGCTCCCAGGTGACGTACCTTGGGGAACTGGGAGGTTTAGTCGGAAAGTGGGAAAGTTTGGGAGCATGATCGATAAATTTAGGATAGGGGAGGAGTAGTACTAGAGGAAGATTTCGAGACGAACAGAGACGAACGGATTGTATTTGCGAACAGATTCCCCAACGGCAGGACGTGGCCTAGTCAATTCATCGGAAATGGCCATTGATTGCCTTTGTGCGCTGAAACTGACTTTTGTTTAACACGTTCCGGACCGCGTGAGACACATGGTGTGTCATGATTTTGTCCCTATGCTGGGCTTTACTTTCAGTAATTTAGCTTTCCATTCATGTTCTGAAGCTGTCAAAACACGTTCTCAATCACGGGAAATGCTTACCCCATAAGCGGTTGAAAAAATTTAGGAAATTGCAGACGAATTACTGATGAAAAATGTCCGCAATGTGTTAATTATCACCCTGTAAGAGAACGGTTAGGAATTGAGGCTGCCTTCTGAGGCCGCATGTGAGGTGTGGTGCTTCTGCCTCATTCATTATTGTTTTAGATAGCTCGACAAACTCGACCACGTGATCTCGAGGAGTTCTTCAGTGCTGTGGGTAGTGTACGAGATGTGCGAATTATCACTGATTCACGAACAGGACGATCAAAAGGAATTGCCTACGTCGAATTTTGGGAGGAGGAAAGTGTTCCTCCTTGGATTAGCGCTCAGTGGACAAAAACTCTTAGGTTAGTATTATGCTGTTTATTTCTCATGAAACTGTAATGGTCAATGGTAATGGTAATGTTAAAATTGTGCTGTCCCGGAGCCTCAGGCTAATGCCGTTTGGACTCCAGAAATTTCGGCTGCGAGCTCATTTTAAAAGTGGCAAGATCACCAAATCCGCTAAAAACTTGTATATAGGGGTAATTCAACATCCTGATCACGAATATGACATTCATTTTTGGCGCTGGCGCTAACTGATGACAATACGGTTACCAGTGCTCTGCTAAGGCTGAGCATAGGAGG